ATTTATATACTAACTGCCTATATTAGAAAAAGGATCAATRAGTAAACACTTTACCTTAAGAAACTAGGGAAAGAAATGCAAATTAAGCCCAAAAGAAGAGAATAAAGAAAGTTATAAAGACCAGAGCAAAAATCAATGATACAGGAAAAAAAAAAGAGAGAGAAGAGGTGAAACCAAAAGCTGTTTTTTGGGGAAGATTAATAAAATTCCTATCCATCTACTCAGGTTGATCAGGAAAAGGAGTTCAAGAAGGAAAACACATGTTGATAATATCAGGAATGAGAAGGATAACACTACTACAGAAAATAGATACTAAAAGGCAAATGAAGGAAAACCATGAACAACTGTAGGCCATTAAATTTGACAATTTAGACAAAGTGGTAAAATTCCTTGAAAAACAAACTATCCAAACTCACTCAAGAAGAATAGATAACCTGGATGACTCTATATTTATTAAAGGAATTGAAACAGTAGTTTAAGGAAACTTTCCTATTAAAGAGACTTTAAGACCTAGAGAKATTTCCTGATGGATTACATAAAACATGTCAGGAAAAATTATGCAATTCTGTGAAATTGCTTTTAAAAAACTAAAAAGAAAGAAATTGTTCCCATTTACGCATCTTTGAATATTACATTATTACCCTAGCCGGACCAAAAAAAAAATCAATAAAATAAAACAAATGTATAAAAAGTATAATGCAGGGGCTTGTTTCAGAAGATTGATTTAATATATAAAAATCCATTAAATTTACCATATTAATAAAYAAAAAATAATAAAATAATTTCAATTAATATAGAAGAAGCATTTGACAAAACGTATCATGCATTACTGATAAAAACTCAGCAAACTAGGATGAAGAAAGAAATTCATTGACTTTACAAAGAACATTTGTTAAATACTAGAGGTAACATCATATTCAATGGTACAGGACTTAAAACTTTCCCCTAATATCAGGAATAGTGCAAGGGTATATTCTCTCACCACTTCTATCTAACATTTTACTTATGTTCTAGACATTGTCATTGATAAGAGAAAAAAAAAGGCATCCARATTGCAAAGAAAGAAGTAAAACCATATTTACTAATTGGCAATATAATTATTTATATAAAATGTGTGTTGGGACCTGGAGAAGAAAAGCTACAAGAATAAGTGAGTTCAACAAGAGTTACAAGATGAAAAAACATCAATACACAACTATATTTCTATATACTCCTGRTAAATAATAGAAACTGAAATTTTAAAAGTGTAATTTACAATAGCATCAAAGTGAAGTGATTACACATACGATAAAAGACATGTATGAGTGGGACWCTGACAACTACTAAACACTGCTAAGAAATTACAGAAGACCTAAATAGAGTACATCAAGTCCAGTGATCAGATGACTCAATATTATCAATTCTATACTAATCTATAATTCARTACGATTCTAACCAAAATCCCAGCAGGTGTTGATTGGTGAAACTGATGAGGTGATTCTAAARTTCGTATTAAATGGAGAGGATTAAGRATAGCCAAAACATTAAAAAAAAMCACAAAAGAACAGAATTAATTTGGAAGACTAACACAAGCTGACTTATAAACTACAATAAGCAAGGCAGGTAGCAGCACACTGGAAAAGAGATGGATAGAGACTACAGAAATATACCTGCATATACGGTCAACTCATTTATTATAAAGTGCAGAGGCAACCCAGTAGATAAATAATTGATTTTTCAACAAATGTTGCCATAATACCTGGCTATTTAAAACAATATGAACACCACTCATCATATACAAAAATAACTCAAGATGCATCATAAACCTAAATGTAAAAACTACAACTATAAAATATCTAGCAGAAAACATAGAAGAGTATTTTTTTAACTTTGAGAGAGGTGAAGTTTTGTTTTGCTTTGTTTTTTAATGCAGTTCTAGGGAATCAAACCCAGGGCCTTGCACAGGCTAGGCAAGCCTACCACTGAGCTATGTTCCCAAACTCAAAAGATTTCTTAAATAAAACACCCATTGCGTAATCAAAAAAAAAATTGACAAAGTGACTATATCAAAAATAAAAACTTTTGTTCTATGTATAACAATGGGAATAAAAATAGAAACCACAGATTAGAATAAAATATATAAAAATAACACATTTTATAAGGAAATGATTTAGACCTAAAATATATAAGGAACTCTCAATATTTAGAAAATAAAATCTGTTAAGGATTTGTTTTTGATGAAATACTGGAATAAGTATTTATTCACCACTAAAGGTAGATGGATGATATATGAAAAAATGTTCATAATTATTTAGTTATTAGGGAAATGCAAATAAAAAACACCATGGGATACTACTATATAGCAATTAGACCAGAAAAAAAATGAAAAAGACTGACCATACACARTGTTGGACCAGTTATGGATCACCTTAAATTTTCCTCTACAGCTGGTGAAAATATAGCATGGCACAGTGACTTTCAAAATCAGGTTTAGTAAAATCTATTTAGTAATATATTCATATATCTATGTATGATCCATCATTTCCCCTCTTGAAATTTAGCTAAGAAAAATGAAAGCAGACAACCTTACAAAGACTTATACTTGAATGTTCACAAACACTTTATTTGTAACAACCAAATGCCACTAACAACCAGAAAATCCATTGGTAAGAGAATAAACAAATTGTGCTATATCTATACATGGTATAATAACCAGCAATAAAAAGAAAGAACATGATTAAATCTTAAGAAAATAATTTTGAGTGAAAGACATACAAAAAAGAATACACATTATGTAAAATTCTAAAAGGTAAAAATTTATCCATAATCCGAAAGCAGAACAATGGCAATGGTTTTACCTTGGAGTTGTACCTTTTGCCTTGGAGTTGRAAGGGTAGAGTAATAAATGAGGGTATGAAGGAAGGACCATGAAGGGTCACAAAAATATTACTCAGCTTTAAAGAAGAATGAAATTATGGCATTTGCTAGTAAATGGATGGAGTTAGAGAATATCATGCTAAGTGAAATAAGCCAATCCCMAAAAAACCAATGGCACAATGTTTTCTCTGATATGTAGATGCTAATACACAATGCGGGGGTGGGGGTGCTACAAAAGAACAGAACTTTAGATTATATACAGGAGAGTGAAGGGAGGCAAAGAGGAATGGGGATAGGAAGGATCTTAGAATGAAACAGACATTATTAACCTATGTACATATGTAACTGCATGACTGATGTGATTCTACATGTACAGTCAGAAAAAAATGAGAAATTACACTCTATTTATGTATGATATATCAAAGTGCATAAATGCATTCTACTGTCATGTATAATTAATTAGAACAAATAAAAAATTTATTAAAAAGAAGTTTGGGTGGGGCTGGGATTGTGGCTCAGTGGCTGCAAGTGTGAGGCACTGGGTTCGATCCTCAACAACATATAAAAATTAATAAGTAAAAAATAAAGGTATTGTGTCCATCTACAACTACAAAAATATTTAAAAAAAAAAAGAAGTTTGGGACCAGTGAGTACATGTATTATCTTGACTGTAATGGTGGTTTTACTTGTATACACGTTTGTCAAAACTTATCAAGTTGAACATTTTAAATATGTATAAGTGGGCATATATCTCAAAGATTATATATGTTTTAAGTGGTAGCAGTGAGCCAAATAAGAGTAGTTTCTGCAAGACACTCGATTATGAATATAACATAGAGGGGAAGAGACAGAACACATGACTCCCCTAACAAGTACAGCTTTGCTATGGGAGAACAAGAGGGTGAGAAGGAATGAGGGAACCTCATAGAACCAAAGACTGAGTTACCCATGTTTTCAGTGGCGAGGAGCTTGAGCATATTTATATACCATAGAAAAGGAGCTATTGGGCAAGGGGAGAATGAAATTGAAAATGTGGGATGGAAATCCAAGAAGAAAGGCAAGTATTGAATAAGAAGAGCGTATGGGTAAGAATATAGGTATATCCTGTGGTTATGTTGAGGGATGCATGAGTTAGTAGAATTTTTCTGTTATTCTTTCTTCTGAGAAGGATGACATATGAAAGGAGTATGATAGTTAAGAAAAATATTGGAGCTTTGGAAAACTCATTGCCTATAGCAGTTGAAATGATGGTTGTAGATAAATGTTCAATCTTAGACCATTCTCATGTAATGAGATGAAAGACAGTAAAATATTCTATGCCAGTGAAAGCTCTTGCTTACATGTGTGCACAGTAGGATATTATCCCATAGTTCTCTGCCTTCTCTCCCTTTACCCTTAACCAAATTTCATTCACATGCTAATCTTCCTATTGATCCTTACCCACCTCTTCCCTCAATGCATAATAGATATTTAACAAATCCTTTAGATTTGCTGGGGAATATTTTGAAACACATAAGAAAATAGAGAATACTTTAATGAATAGCAGCTTCTATTATCCAGCTTCATCAAAGCTTAACATTATAGCATATTTATCTCAATTTAAAAAAATGCTTAAATCAAATGTAGGCTTACTGGCAAGACRGATTTTACCACTAGCAAACATCAACATAATCACTTACTTTTCATATTTCATATATTTCATGAAAAATGCCCAGGGCAACCTCTGAGAACCTCAGGTACTGTGGGTAGGCAAAGAATCAAATATGGCCAGAAATGGCCACTGGCAAGCTAATTAGGTAGTTTCCCTGAAGTAAACTGTTAATATATTAAAGCCATGCAAATTAGATCATGCCCACAGGTACTGAGTTTGGAAAATCTGCTCTAGCAAGGTATGAATTTTTAATAAAAATGATAATTATGACTAACAGCATTGACACTATTTTCCTTTAGCTTTCTAACACTCACTGCCACTTTGGTATTGGTAAATATGAGGAAGGCTAATAAAAAAAATAATTTTCCTCTCCATAGTATGTAAGATTTCTGAATCTGAAAGCATGCAATCAGTTTCTAAAGATAACAGCTTTATTCTTCATGCAGTTATGAATCATCCATTAAATTAAAAAAAGTTATAATTTTGATAGTACCTGCCAAAACCGACTGTGTGCATCTCCTCTCAGAAGTTCAACGGTATCCCCTGCCTGGATATGTAATGGGGGTCCTTCATGAAGAGCTGGGGGTGGTGTTCCAGTGTAGTTCCTAATGACCTGCATCTTTGGCAAACCTGAAAATAAGCAATATGAGTTCTAGAATTGAGAAAGCAATGATGTGTAAAGTCCAAATGTATTTTTTTAAAGCCATTATTAATATTAAAAATATTTTTAACATTTTTTCTTTTCTTTTTTTAGTTGTAGGTGGACACAACACCTTTATTTTATTTTTATGTGGTGCTGAGGATCCAACCCAGTGCTTCATGCATACTAGGCGAGTGCTCTTCCTCTGAGCCACAACCCCAGCCCAACATTAAACACATTTTAATACCACTAGGTCCAAGTAAACATTTGAAGTAATTCCAATGGAATGCTTTTCAACTTTCCTATTATTCGAGATGGTAATAGAAGAAGACACGAATTTATCCCCTGATCCCTTACATACTTTCCCTCTCCCTCACCATCAATCTCTTTTTAGTTGGAAAAATATTTCTCTTTCAGTTGATGCCTGTTTGATAAAAAACACATCATGTATGGTACAGTTTAATGGAAAAGAATCAATTTTTTCATCAATTCTATCCTTTTTGCCTACTACTTTCCTCTTGGGCATTGGCTGATTTCATCACTAAGGAGGCTCACCATTTCTGTGTATGTATCACACTGCCCAGTATAAGGTTGCTATCTTAAGGTTATCTTTGTAATTCAAAAGTAAAGGGGTGATGGATGTGCCACTGCAATACTTAAGACATTTATATGAAGAAACTCTATGGGTGGCATTTATATACTATGGAGTATTATTCTGCATTAAAAAATGACAAAATCATAGAATTTGGAGGGAAATGGATGGCATTAGAGCAGATTATGCTAAGTGAAGCTAGTCAATCTTTAAAAAACAAATACCA